TGGAATCTGGGTCTGAAAGGGTTAACATACTAACGGGTATGATGAGTGTACTCATCAAGGCCACTCTTTTTTGATTCCATAAAACATTCTTTCCCTTGAATGAAAATGTGTCAAGCGAAGCTCCATTGCATTCACGAATAGCGACAGAAAAATGTACTCAACCACCATGCCACCTCTGTGCGAAAACTTAAAAATTATCAGAAGAGTAGAAATGCACCAAGGATCATGATACACTGACGGCATAAACAGTCCCAATCGATGCGCTTCATTTTGTCGTACGTTACTCAGGTTTTGGCGAAACCTTTCACTTGCCGCCCCTTAATAAACGATGAAAAGCATTGCTATCTGAATATGGTATTGAGTTTTGGGTACCTTATCTAGTTGGGGAGTTATAGGAACACAATGTCAAAAGTGGAAAAAATTAGCACAGTTTATGTCACTGTGAATGAACCACATAAACATGCATACATTTCTGAAACGGTATTTCCCAACTTAATGCGATCGTAAAATTGAGGTGAATCATTCGGCGAAGAATTTTCATGTCTACTAAGTGGCCCTAATCTTAATGGACCAAGGCGCAAATAGCCCCTACGAGATAAAAGCGAAAGCCAGAAAAATACAATGATGTTTGACGAGGAAAAAGCTTTTTTTTCCCACGTCATTTTAATACGGACGTGTGGAACAGGACTCGATATTCTTGGGTTCCTTCATTCCGCTGCCCTGATAAGGCTTCTCTTTCACATCGATTGGTCACTTCTATCAGGACGTGATGTTTTCGCGGCGGGTTTTTATTAGTCTCAACAGGCAATCAATACCGGCGCGTCCCACGCCATTCACTAGCGTAATATTGAGCCGAGAAGAGTGTCCACTACGTTTCATTCGTGCTATCGAGCAAAAACAGTGAACTGAGTGTTTGTGTTCGTGTGTGCTGTGTCTCTTTAACGTTTACAGATTCGGCAAAGGACGATAGGTCTAGAGGTATACGGATCCGTGAATTGACAGACCTATACCTGGCTTGGTGGTCTAGTAAATAGTGCAGCCATTCCGATGAATATTCATTTGATTGAAATTTTATTTCCTGTTTCAATTGCGTACTTTTAATTCCAATGATTTCTTGCATTACTGCCTAATCTGCGATTGCATGATAATCGGAAACTTTCTTGCTAAGTTCAAGCAATATTTGTGGTATCAAATTCTCCACCCATCAGAGGTGTCCAAAACAATAACTTACTAGATTCTTGTTATTATGGTCCTTTCTGATTAAAATTTGATACTCCATTGAAACTTCATCAAACAAAATCCCGCGAAAAACCATACTTTGCTTCAGCATGTTCCCTGTTTCAACCATGATTCTTATGATGAATCTGTTCGCTATCATGAAGGCTGATCCTTTGAGAGTATGGTTTGTCTGCACCGTGGAGTATCCAAATGCCTAGTAGAGCATCGACGAGGTAATCTGGAAAGGTATTGGTATTGTTAATAGACAGCAGCATATATTGTCAAGCTCGAGCACATGAGGGATCTCGCCTTAATTTTCACTGCTCGCATGATTCTGATTAATGTAATAGCATGAGATAGCTCAGAGTTGCGAGATTTGTGTGTTTTCTTCTCTAAAGGTTTTTTTTCCAAACTTGTAAAAGTAGTTTCCTTTTCTCCTGACAGGTATCCACAAAATAGAAAGCAAGAAAATAATAAAACCGTGGACGGTGTATAAGAGGCAAGTTGTGGGATGGGAAGTGAGACAGTTATGCGTGAATCATCTGGTGGAGATGAAGAGCAAGTATTTGAAAAATACTCAATTTTGATAGCCGAAACTGACCATTTGGATTACATTCATGAAAGCAGAAGGAATTTCTGTAAATGGATAATTAACAAGCTGGAAGAAGACGACGAATCCTTACTTGACCGCGCTTTTTTCGCGCATTCTACTGATTTTTATCTAGATGGAAGAGTGCAGACAAATAATGCTCAGTTTTCTTCTAAAAAAGGCCAAGGTGAAGAAACCCATGAAAGTCAAGCACTGAATTCCTCAGAAAGGGTGACTGTATGGTGTGCCTTTTCCAAGAAACACCTCATAGGCCCCTTCATAGATTTGTGCGAATCGGAAAGCTTTCCCAAAAAAACCGAATTGAAATTCTTGATGGCTCTAAATGCATATGTGCAAAAAGAGAACATTGAGAAAAGTAGAGTGTGGTATCAACAGGAAAGTTTCCCAGTGACAGACGAGATAAAAGATTATTTCTTTGAACGCATTATCTCTCAATGGCCACCCGCATCTCCGGACCTATCACCTGTATGCTTTTTCCTCTGGGGATTTCTGAAAGAAAAAGTATATGCCCCATCGTTACCGAAGGCATTGAATGAGTTGAAGAAAAGGCTGAAAGAGGCAATAGGTGGGATTTCTACTGATTTCATTTCCCGTGCATTTTCCCATGCGGAGGAGAGATGGATGAAATGCCTTCGACTAGGAGGAAAATATGTCGAATCTTACTCGAAGACATTCGAGCCGAAGGTAATCTGATATGAATTTTCGACTGTCAATCAATCATTCCAACACTTCGGCGGGATTTTTAAATATTTATTCTGCAGTTGTTTATTTGCTTTCTTGTTTTCTCCGTAGGGAAGGTCAAGGCCCTGCAATCGCCGCAAATGCTTCCTATGTCCCAGAATACAAGATTGTGTTTCTTTAATGATGAAGGGAGAGAATGGAAAAGAGATAAAACACCAGGTCGTCGGAGTAGAAGACGGGACCTGCCAAACTCCATTCGTCATTTATTGTATTGCTTGCAAAAGATGCAAACATCAATACATAGGCAAGTCAAGCGATTCTCTCTGTAAGAGAATGAGACAATATTATACTCAACTTTCGCCAAAGGGGAGAAAAAGGAAAATCGGTCCGGCAAAGGAGAAGACTTCAAAGAAGTCTACGAATGCCGAAGAAAAGGAAAAGATTGAGAAGGAACAGGATACTGACGAGGGAATGGATGAAAGCGAAGATGAAACGGAGATCATTGAGACGGAAGACGAGGCTGTGGAGACGTCGACATCGACGAGTCATTTGGTGAATGTGAATGGGAAGAGGGTAAAAAAAGGGGTTTTGCCCCACATGGAAGAATGTGCGAGTGATCAGCCGAAGCTCTGGGACAATCTGGAGGTCACCATCTTGCATGTCTCACAGGCAAAGTCTGAAAGGTCATTGGATTTGCTGGAGACTAAATACATCAAAAAGTATGACCCAGGAATGAACATTCTAAAGAAAACTTCCTATTAGGCACTCCCCTCCGGAAGCGGCTGATTATATCACCTCAATAATTAAAAAAGTGGAGTGATTTCATAATTCTGCAACTTCTGTTGCTAAATAATAATGTCTGTAGTCAGTGAATATTTAACATGATTAGATGTACTTGGGTTAATGGCATTAAATGATTTCAGCTCCTTTAATCTTAATACAGGGTTTTAATGCATTTAAGAATCGTACCATCATAACGATAACTCATTGCACGCATGCTTAGGAAAAGCTCCTGTATGCGGTATATCTAGATTGTGTGCGATGAGCTGAAAAAATGTAGCTCATATGGAGATATATGGTAATAAATATGCGAAAATACTGCAAAATGAACGAAATGGACTTATAGTTAGAATTTTGCCATGCATGTGCAATTGAATATGAGTTCTTCAAGATGATATCTTGGTGTGACAGGTTTGTCATTTTGCATGGGATCCAAATAGATTTTATTTGTTTCATTATGACAAACTATGGTAAGTCTAAGAACTGGGCGTCATATTTCATGATGGTGAGAAATTCCTTGCTTTTCATAATAAAAAGAATGGGACTTGAGAAATATTCACCTCTGTAGCTGAGAGCTGAGAATCTTCTCTGCAATGGTGAGAAGGGCGAATATTTCCGTTTTCCGCGTTAAGTAGTCCGTTGTGTCCCGTATTAATATCGCAGGATGAATATGGAGTCATTCCAAGCCAAATAGACCAGCGAGAAAGCTCGACCATCTCGGATTGTGACAAAAATCGCCATACACGTAGAGGAATCGATTTAAAGAATACTTATTTAACCAATTGTATCATACCAAATTCAAGGTTGGCACTCAAGGGGTTCATGAGGTATAATAATTTGCTTGCACCGCCAGTGCATTTATATTTACACCAAGGGAATCACAGAAATATAACCCAATGTTACAAAGCTGTTAGCATGAAATGTTTGCTGGTATCTAATGTTTAGCATTTTGATGTTTTCCTAGCATACAAAATGACAAAATAATAATGTTTGGACAGTAATCAATTAACTCACTTAATTAACTTTAATCATGTATTACATAATATTAATAAAATGCAAGTAATTTTATTGAAAATCTGTGCAACAAGCAAAAATTTTACATATAGGTCTTCATGACATTGGGCTATATTTCTGTGAATCCCAGGTGCAGCTATAAATGCACTGTCGATGCAATCAAACTTATACCTCATGAACCCCTTGAGTGCCAAACTTGAATGTGGTATCATTAGAAAGGCAATAACACGCCCTTTTCATTGATGTATTCATTGATGAAGTCGGGATTCATGAAGTGGAAAGTGCATTGGTAGGTCAAATTGGAAGAATTTTTCGTGCATGTGCGTTGCATAATAATTAATACTGAGTCAATAAGTTCCACTCGTACTTACCTACCCTTCTAAGAAACTATTTATTTTCTTTCGTTTCCTCATGTGTGGGGAGGGCTTCTTGATGAGATGAGAATTTCCTTTTATGTGGGTGGACATGCCTCTAGAATGAATGATCATGGTCGAGGGCGATTAGGTGAAGTAAGGTGAGGGGTAAATTGAGCTTTTAATTCGGCATCAGCGTTGAAGGGAAAGGCGAGCCGCAGCCTATCTACTCCCATAGTTTTTGACAATGAAGTATGATGACCGCGCCATGACTTTTAATGGACGCCTTATAAGTATATTACATTTTGGGCCAGTAACATAATTATACGGGAACATGTTTAGCAATTACCTTTTTAGTTCAATTTTCTCCTCCTATTTAATGCAACTTTTGTTAAAGCAAAAATTCTCATTTTCCGGAATGATCATGATGTATAAGAGAGACAAAGGAAGACGCTGTACAGTGCAAAAAAGTCCGCATGAATAAGTTATGTATTATGGCCCAGTGGAATTTTAAGTGGAATTTAAACTTTAGAGATAACTCGAAAGCTAAAGAGAGCAACATGCATTCGTAGGTATGCAGTGTCAGGACTGCCGAATCGTGAGACAGTGAGGAGAGTCTCAGCCAACAAGGTTGACATTGTGATGGAAGAAAGGGAGGGACCGATTACTGAAGATAACACTGACCACGGCTCAGACCCTATGATTGATGCGTTGAAAGAAGAGAATAAATTATTCGATGAATGGAAAAAGCTACGGAATGAACTAACGAAGAAAACTACTTTTCTAGTCAATGATGAAGTTGAGATCAATCAGGTTAGGGAAAAGCTGAAGGAACTTCACCGTCTAGGAATAAAGAAGACACGGTTTCAGTGATTCCTTCTTCTTTTACTTTGCCCTTATGTTGCTTTGGAAATTACCAATCTCCAGGATAGGATACTGGCATAATGATCCTTTATATTCAGCTAAAGCGTTACCGTTCCCCTAGGTATGCTTATATTGGCGATACCGCAATAACCTGACCGGCTCAAAATCCGATCATTCTCGCACACAATGTCGCGCTAAANCTAGGTATGCTTATATTGGCGATACCGCAATAACCTGACCGGCTCAAAATCCGATCATTCTCGCACACAATGTCGCGCTAAAGAAGAAAAATGCTTCTCAACTATCGACATATGGTTTGAGGATATCAATTGAATGAGGGCTGAAACTTATCTGAAGTTTGAGCAAACTCCGACACGAAGAGAATGATCGAGGAATACGTAGGGACAAGGATTTACAGCAATGGATCGAATGGGAACTCACATTTTTCCTTTTCAGACTTAAGAAATAAGCCTGGAGGACTCGTTGGACATTCCTCATGAGCACATGATCGTCCACCACAGGAAATGCTATAGTAAATCAGAAAATTTATCTTGATGTTGATGATCACTTCCTGAAATTTACGAGAGCAGCTGCACATGAAGCTGTCAAACCCCCGTGAATTTCTTTCTTTCGGAATGATTTCAAATATGTCAGGATATTTTCATATTCCCCTCGCAAACAGAACCGCCTAGGTCTGTCGGTTATTTCGACGTGTTGGTCTTCGCTTCAGGTTTATTGCCGATTGTCGAGGTTGAGGAGGAAAAACCATCAGAGCCAATGTACCCTGTCCCATC